GGGTCACTTAACCGCCAAGTAAAACATATATGTATACTTTCACTATATGAAATATGTTCGAACACGACAAAATCTTCTCTTTCATCTATGCTCTATCATAAAATTCTGTGGCCCAAATCTTTCAATTTCTGTTAACCAGGTATGCATTTATTTTCCATGTCATACTTAAATACTTACGACACCGTACATTCGAATGTAAACCCTCATACAGTTAGAAATAAGAGCGGAACTCGGGGACGCAGGGTTGAAACTTTAGTACTACTACTGCCGCTTGTGTCAGTTGTCATCTAACTTTCAAAGTGCAAAAAGAAACAAATCTATCTTCTTTTGTAATGCGCTCTGTGTCAGAATGATCAATATCAGTCATCCGGTCCACTTTATCTCGGACAGGTACAAGTACTTTGCTCACTTACTCTTCACTTTGACATCCAACCTGTACGGACAATACAAATAGGGACGTCTTTATGTGTCGTGCATTCCTAGACTTTAGAATTCCGAGTCATTAAGCCTCTCAAGATCTGTGTAAAAGACTGCTGCTGTCGGTGCTCCTTCGTTTCAACACTATTTCATTTCTGAATTCTACACACCATGATTTGCATGTACTTAACATTTTCAGTTGATCCCTTTTGATCTCCAATGAGAGTACGTGTGTAGGTCTTAGACTGGCACGGTCGGTACTTTGGTGGACCTACTGACGAAATAGTGTGGGAAAAGCAGTGCTGACACTGAAGGCTTCATGATGGTTACAGAAAACATGTCGGCAATATTTGTAGGCAAACTTGGTTTGAACGGATATTAACTTTTATTTTGAGAAAAAAGGGGGAGTGGGAGTCCTCACTCTTCGTATGGTTGGAGGGAGGGGGCTTCTCACGGAAAATTATATAAATTCTAGCAATTTTTCATTATCTATTTAGTAAATGGCAGTGGTGCTGAAGTGCGCTGTTTTCCTTTTTACGATTTTATAAATTCTGTTGGGATTACAGGATTTGATTGAAGTATCATATTTTATAAAGATCAATAGTTGACCTACCGTTACGCTAGTTAATAGTTTTGGCTAATATCCCGTCATAGTCTACTGTTCATGGAAATACATTTTATCAATGAAGCTCAGTTTCTGCAAGCGAGTTCTATCCTTTCAATTGACTTTCCATGCGCCATACTTGGCAATACCTCGCTTGATCTTGGTATTGAGCGTTCGCCCTATCGAGGGATGCTATGAGTCCTGTCTCCTGAATGTCATAAAGCTAAGCCCTTGCTTTTATGGTTAGGCTATTTTCATGTTTATGTCAGTGTTTCTCAATGTAATTTAACTTTTGTTTTAATTAGGAAACTGGATTATCTGGGGGGAACCCACGTGGTCAGGCAGGTGATCCCCATACCTTTTCACGTCCGATTGGGGAATCGAACCCCGACCGGCTTGGTGAAAGGCGAGTGCGTTATACACTGCGCCACCCGACCACCAGCCAATTTGTAACCATACTATAAGTGAATTATGTTTGGATTATGAAAAAATACAGATAATTTATAGCCCGAAATTTCTCAGAAGAGATGGGAGGGCCAACTCCTATTATCACGCCTACTGCTGCGCCAATGGCTGGTGAGTATGATAACATGGATCTTGAAGAATACTCTTGACCGAGCTAAGAAGAAAAACTTTTAAAAATATCTGATATATATCCTGGATAATTTTGATATTTTTTAAACGTTTTACATATACTTTCATCAAAATATTGCAATTTATTTACATTTGTTTCGTATCTAACTTGATCACAACAGTCACACCCTACCATACGACACGATAACGACAGCATCCATTAAAGATTTTTGAGATATACCATTTAATGTGTTGCTGTACAAGTTTGATAAACAGACGAACAGGATATAGCTTGTGTCAGAGATATTTCTTTTGGGGAAATTATGTGTGCAAGAAAACAACATTTAAAGTGCCGGTTCGGTTTTTTATTGAATGCTATGTTTTCCAAGATAGCGATGCAATTTTCTTTACATTGTGTGATACAGATGTGGAGATAACTGATGTCGACACATTTTAACTATGGCTAAGGGGAATATCGAGGAACACAAGACATTATGTAGTTCTTAAAAGAATTTGCCTGCTGTATCGTGTTAGGGGGTTAATGTGAGCCCTCATCGGAATTAGAACGTTTCATCCTTTTCCTCTAGTTGTAGACTACGGAGAGACAACACTTGATCTGTTACGGAGAGACAACACTTGATCTGTTACCTCTAAAGTTAAGATTCTTCTTTTTTATATCCCCGCTTCAACGAAGTTTTGGGGTATATAGTATTCGCTTCGTCTGTACGTACGTCCGTGGTTTCCGGAGCATATCTCAACCAGTTTCACATTTGGGCATCGACCTTTACATTTTGGTACGTCATGGGAAGGTGGTGGGTTGGATCTAAAGCGAGGTCACTGTTACCCCAATTTGACCTTTGATTTTGACTTCAGTTTCTAAAATAATGTTTTCAGGAGCATATCTCAGTCGTTTTTGCAGGAATTGGCATCAAAGTTTGTAAAAATGTGCATCGTGTGAAGGTCGTATGTCATATACTAAAATAAGGTCACTGCGACCCTAATTTGACCTTGACCTCATTACTTACTCATTACAGTATAATACAGGTTTCCGGGAGCATATCTCAGTCAATGTTAAATGAACTGTGTAGATATACGGGGAGCGGTAAACTTCTGTACACTTACGAAGCACCCGTCATCTGCGAACAGCGAAACCTCAATATAATGTCTTTCAATTCATTTGCGGGTTAGGCATGTTTCGTATAATGATCCAGGTGTCCTTGATTTCAAGTTCATGATGATATATACAATCGAAGTGGTCAAAAATTTAAATTTCTTGTCTAAAGACAATTCATTGCCGAAATATATTTAAGTGACACTGAAAGACTCTGCAAGAGCATTTTTTCCCCATAGCAACTGATTTCGGTTGGCATTCAGTGCTAATATTTCCATTTGGCATTCATATTGGCTATGCATGTCATTTGAAAACAGTTCAATGAAAATATTAACCATTTTTGGAGTATTTAGATAAATTAAGAAAAGCTGAAAATTGAACATTAAAGTGCGTAATTTAGTTCAAGTTATTGTATGCATCGTGTATGCTTGTTCAAAGAATTGAACAGCAGGGGCAGTGGTATCAAAATGTTACCGTTATGACGTCAATAATCGGTCAATGGCATCCATAGCTGATATGAATGCCTTCTGAATATGACATGGTGATATTGTGGCATTGCTATGTAATAGTAGATTAGTGTATGCCAACAGTCTGCTGTAAAATATTGCACCAAACTCAAAGATATTGCCATCCAGAAATGATATCATCCTATTTTCCACAAAATAAGCTACAAAATAGTTGCCAACCACATGCTTGTACCGCCCGTCCGCCTTTTTGGAGATAAGAAATAAAAGATATACGGAAATAGCGTAAAGGATGCTCCAGAATGTGCATTCTATCAAATCCATTTCTGGTGTATAGTGTCGTAATACAACTTTAACTGTAGTATGATGGCAATAAGTACGGTTCGGGTGGTTTGAAGTTTGGCCCCGGATATAATGGCTTGGATGTGCAAATATCAGTGCCAGCGATAACAGCTTAGTCTTGTGGAGTTTCGGAACCCAGTACAAAGCAGACAGTTCCACATCCTTATCATTAATCGTATTCTGAAAGGTTGTAATACAGAAGTATGATTAGCTGGTATTAGTAGGGTTCGTAACTTTTGTCGACGGATGTGATTATAACAAGTCTAAGGGAAGTAACCGCAACTAGTAACCCTAACTTGCCCGTTCGAGTGAACAAGTGTCTTCCAAGATTAATCTCGCTTGAAAACATCCCAATTAACCTAACTTACATTGTCTGAATAACCTTTACCAAGAACGTATCGTCTTGGTTTCTTCTTCATCAGAATCAATTTCAATTTAATTCTTTCGTCCGATGCTGTTTTTTTGGCAAATATTGTGTTTTGATCTTCCTTTTTAGACATTTATTCTCTTCAGTTTCTAAGAAAGAAAAGGCCTGCTATATTCCACATCATACTTGGTAAGACGCAATTAAATGTTGAGCCTCTGCAGAATCTGTTTTTCTGTAGAGACCAACATTTATCTGATATTCTCGTTTGCAACACCTTGGATCCCTATTTATCTTTACTCTCCCAGCTACTCTTCAACCCGGATCAGACCAGAGAGTATAGAATCAAATATGTCTCGATAAAACAAAGCATAGGATTTCCTAGGACTGATGCAACACAATAGTTATGATACTGCACTTAACATCGGGTATAATCCCAGACGTTTTCCTTGGGGTTAAAATTTAAATCTCCTATATGAATCAATACTTCAAAATGCTTTCCAGACGTTAACATTATTAAAGGTCAAAGATGAAAATATTTCCTGGACCAAAAGTCGTGCATCTTTTTTGTCTACACTTTTACAAAATCATCAGAAACTAACCCTTGTAATAACCAGAGTCTCAAGTCAATTACAAGCAAGCATACCTACCAATAATCTGACAGACTTAACAGTCACACTACCCAAGACCATCTTTTGTATATCCAGTCACCAGATATAGTTCCAAGACCATCTTTTGTATATCCAGTCACCAGATATAGTTGCATGCCCATATTTTCTATATCCAGTCACCAGATACAGTTTCCAAGACTCATCTTTTTTATATCAAGTCCTTATATTCTTAAGTTCAATCAAACTCAAAACTTTATTAAAGCCTTCTTCTCACAAAGCATTTGCCTGGGATTTCTTCAACGGTTTGTCCAACTTGAAGCTGTATCAACTTCGGACAAATGTCAGGAATTAGTGTTTTTTGACGGACAATCAGATTGAAGCAGAAATCTTCATGTGTTAGGTGTTGCTTTAAAATATTTTACTGAATCAATCAAATAAAAAAAGTGTGTAAAATTTAACTTTGATTTAATTTTAAAAGTATGCTGCCTATAAACCACACATAAAGGACAACGTTACTCATCTTAAACTTTAATGATTATCACAGATTAACACCCAGGTTAACATACATGGGTTATTTGTAGTTAAGATGTACATTTATACATTGGAGTATTCCTTTAAAATACCTCTAACAACAATACAAATTAATGTAATGTCTTCAATATTGATTTGTAAAATATATAGGTCAACATGTCTCCTACATCCAACATTTCAGAATAGACACGTGGTGCTGCTACACTTAGTATACATAGTACCAGGTAGTAAAATACAGAATAGACACGTGGTGCTGCTACACTTAGTACACTTAGTACCAGGTAGTAAAATACAGAATAGACCCGCGGTGCTGCTACACTTAGTACACTTAGTACCAGGTAGTAAAATACTTAAGGATCACTGACTTAAGTCAATATTCTGAAAGCACTGCAGGTCTAGGTGTCTTGGAAACTCTCTTCTTTGGTACATCTCCCCTTCTTTATTGTAGTGTAATTTTAACAGTTTTAAACTTGTGGGATCATATCGCTGATATCGCTGATATGATGTCAGACTGATATGTAAGACCTGTGTCAAAACTATGATAACTTCCAGACAACACTTTAACCGTTTTGATGAACAGTTGGAATCTTTGACAAAAACTTGGTGGGAACAGCAGGCACTTTCCCATTTTTAGCGTCTTATGACTGCGTTGGGTCAGTTATAGCTGTATCCCCTTCAGTGAGGTCCTTCTGAGACAGTTCCTTCTGAGGCAGGGCTGCTTCAGGTTGTATTTCCTTGGACGAGGACTCTTGTTTAGATGGTTCCACCTCTGGTTGGGAGATCACCAGTGAAGGGGTGCCTTGAGGAAGTGGTACCCCCTGGGTAGGATCAGTCTGAGGCGAGTCTGTTTGGGGTGATTGTGGTGTATTGACTCCAAGTCGGGTATATAAAGCGCTCCTCATAGCATTGAGAACAGTTATTGAGGCAAGGAGACACATGGCAGTATCCTCGTATCCCTGGTCCTGGAACAACTCCACCAGGCTGTCCCACTGGACTGAGGTTGTGTACGAGTCATCCAAGACAGCTGCCTGGAACTGGTTTATTTGAGGGTCATCTGGAAAAGTAATGGTAACATGTAACAGTTACAGGTAGTAACTACAGGTATTAGTACAGGTAAAAACAAGGACCAACAAAGAAACCCAACAGTTATGGGTTAAATTTTAGGTTTTAATGAAATTTACTAGTAATATCGACTCATTAATGCTATATAACAAATACTGTATTGTGCCTACAGCAGACTTACCAACCGATGGTTGTTTCTGTTGGTCCTGTATGAATGGAAGAACCAGGTTGTACTGGTTCTTCTCTAGAACTACCAGTAAGACTACACCAATGGGCAAGGCCCGGCTCCCTTCACCATCCTCCTCCACGAGAGCATGCATCAGCTGGACAGAGGGACAGGTCCTCAGGACAGACATGAACTGGTCCCGCGTGAACGGCATCTTGTGTTTGGCGTAGTCCATACCAGCATGGATGCGCCCCTGCTTCAGCAGACACACTACGGTCTGGCGGTGAAGCTGCAACTTGCTGAACACGTTTTGAGCCAGAGCTTGACTACCGCACCGACATGGCACGTTACACTTACAGTGGGCACTGATTCTGTCTCCCAGATCCTGCGACAGGGTCAGTCTGTAACACAAACAAAAAACATTTTAATTGATTGAAAATTCAAAACGAAACATTTTCAAATTAACACTATAAAAGGGATGGTTGTATAATAATAATTTGATTATATGTTGTTGTGAGAACTTTATCAAATTAGAGAGAAATCCTGCCCATAGATAACTCAAAGAAGAGTGGGAGACAACAATACAACTATGTACATCTATGTAGTTCACAAAACTATTTAAAACCATCCAAAGTTTTGAAGTAATTGACCAACTACTGACCTTTCCTGTGAGATCCAGTGAGACAAGAGGTCAAGTCTGTTTTCGTACAGTGCACACTCGACACATTCTAGTGACAGGGTATCGTTAGGTTTCATACCGATGGCTCCCACTGATGACATCACTGCCTCGCTGAAGGCAAGGAGAGGTGACCGACCGTTCACCTGGACCTTCACATCTGCAAACATTGGCGTAAACAAGACTCGTTTACTTCTATCACTTGTTTGTAAATTATGTCATATAATTATAATGTGTATAACAAAACTTGTCCTATTGACCACTGAGTATTCCAACATCCTGTCACATGTCATATCTCTGTTATCCCATTTCTTTTAAAACAACCAAATAAAACACACCTGTCTAATGCAAACAGTGTGTTGGATTCCACAAGGTTTGGATTCCAAAAGGTATCAGATTAGACAACAGGTTTCACTGTGCATCCTTACTGTCTCTTTGATGAGGATGATATATATATGTAATTATATATACACCTAATAAAAACAAAAAATCTCAACAACATGTCATTAGCACTTTCATCTCATCAAGGAGATTCTTCAGATTATTTATTTAAAGAAGAAATCATGACGTCATACCCTATGACCTTAGCCCTTACCTCTAAACTTTGCGAGTGTGGCAGACGTCCTTAGTATTCCCTTGGGACTGTTGGCGGCGTGAATGGCTGCCTCCTCATACTTCCCATCCTCAAACAGCTCATTAAATTTCTCTATATATTCCAGCATCATCTCTGCCTCTTTCTCCCTATTAGGATCGTCGTCATCAAATGATGACTTGGACGCTGCGGCTGCTGACCCCTCCCGAGCCTCCCCCTGGTTCTGGTCGGGAGCCAGTTCTGTAAATGGTCACATTAAGTTAGCATAGGTTATATATAAACACCCTTCTTAAGACTCTGTAATTCACTGATAATAAAACATGTCAAAAATAATATCTGAATAATTTCCATGACACGGCTAGGAATCAGAAGTTTTCACATAAGCAATCATGAGATGAGGCAAATAAAGAGTAAAAATAAATTTACTCCATGTACATCTTACAAGTATCAAATGGCCTCATTTATGATTTGTCTGAGAGATAGAAACACAAAGTAACATCTTAATCTAATTTGAATAAGGACTCCAGTTTTGCTACATGTAATAATGCCGTGTTTGTTTGAATAAAGCTGATAATTTAAGTAAAAGCATGTACCATTGAGTGTGCCTCTTAAACTGATGTTAAATAATAATTAGTTTCTGTTTTTTCATCTGAACTTATTTTAACATAAAATGACATTAAAACCAACAAACATGTTAAATTCTTCAAATGAAACTTGATTCAAGAATTAAGAAACAAATTAAAATCATATGTAATTAACATAAACATCAGTAGCCTATACAATGTAACTTCCTAACTATTTTTAACCTAACCAATACAGTGTACTTCCTAACTAATATTTCATAGCATGTGTTTCTATTGCAAAGCAAGTACATCTCGTTAATTTGCCGTAGCTGGCCGTATTCTCCGCTAGTTATCACTACAGCTACTGTATCTGGAAGCTTTAACAGTCCACGCTATACTGGTCTCCTCAAGCTCTATAGAGACAGATATTTCCCTTGTATGGTCATGTTCCATCTGTCAATCTAAATCTCCCAATTATTACAGATGCTAGTAAATCTCATAGCAATCAGTAAAACCACAGAATTTACATAATATTTGTAAAATTTAACAGTTTTAGTATTTTCGTAATTGTTCTGTGATGTTAAAATGTTAGTCAGCTGTCACAAGTGATGGCATTTATCATTTAGATATGAACAAGTGGACACAGAAAATTTACAGTAACTTATATCAATTTACACAAGTACAACTACGTTATGTGGCGAGTATGTAGCGATATACATTGATTTATAAACAGAATGACAGACTTGTTCATATACAAACAAACTGTAAGTAAAGTGACTTAATATGACATCACCAGTCAAGTCTCAGTACAGCACAAAATAACACGGTAAACCTGAATCAACAATTTAAGCTGACATTCTTAATCTTATTGTGATGAAAAACTTTGCTCAGTAAGTTAGGCACTTTTTTCATAAAGAGGAAGTTGTTTCCAGTTAAATTAATTTCAGAATGAATTGTGTGCTGTACTAAATCGAGTATTACCACCAGTTGAGAACTAGAAGGTAAATTGTCTCAGCTGTTCTCTATTAGCACCACTCTTCAGTGTATACTGGCATGCTCCCATACAGGCCATGTTATTTCAGTGACAAGGAATTAGTAAGAACATATGGTGACTGTTGAACTCTGCATTGAACAAGAACTTGTCGACAACAAAAACTATGGCATACACAAACTGCTATAGGGTACCTGTTAAATCAACACCAGCATTATATCTGTAATTCAGACGGTTACCTGCAAGCAAAACCAGGCCAAACAGTGTTAGAGGCAATGGCTGGGGTGTCCACAAAAACAAGTAAAAAGAGTCACGCTAAAAATTAGCCTCTAATCCTACAAAGACAACAGTAACTTCAACCCCTACACCCACATGTATAGTAAACCTAAACTCGTCACCATGTACATCCACAATAAACAATTCCCTTTCACCAAGTATTATAAATTCATGTCTTTCCCATTCCCCTTTATACCATATACATGTAGCAATCGTTTTCTTTTCTTACCATTCGCTGATCGTTTGAAACGAGTCAAGCGTTGCACCGTACGTTTAACTTTGTAAGGAAAAGACAAATTTATTTCTCATGTTTCTTTTCTCATGTTTATAACATAACATATAATGACATATAATATATCTACACAGAATTAGTTTAATTAATCCTAACCAATTGCCCAGAGAGAAAGTTTCTCCATTTCTACATTAAACAATCAGGTCTAACTACTTCACACTGCATTGAGATCTAACGACAGTGAGATCTAACGACATCAGCTATGAGTTCATGTTGTGGTGACCACTGCTCCACCAGTATACAAACTAAATGTTTGACATCCAGTTCCAGTTTTATAACTTTCGTTACGAGTTTGTGTTACCACAACATGAAATCCTGGAATCCAGCAGCCTAGCTCCTCCTTCAGCCTGCAGATAGCTTACTTTGGAAAACTCTGATTTCACTTGATATTTAACATTTGGAACAAATGTACCTGATAAATTTCTTTACACTTGGTGATACAGAAAAGATTTATATTTTTTTTTTTATACATTTGATCTCCCAGTAAATCGGCTCTGTTGGTCTTTTATGCCACCAACTTTACAAATGTCAGGACCTTGTTCATTCCGTTTCTGATATATTTTAAAACTTTCACAAATATTTAAAATCTTATCTTGAATCCTTCTCCAAAATATTGGTTTGGTTTCAGAGGAAAATGTGTTCTTTCAAATGCTTTCAGAAATTAAAGTGCCCAAACTAGCAATTTTAAGGTTTCAATGAATGTACTTTACACCAGACCAAACTGAAGACAAACGGTCAATCCCAAATGTAATGTTTGAAATTTTTTAAGATTTACAATTGTTTTCTTTATAGCTGACTTGAAATGGCTCGTAAATCTGTGAAAGTTTTTGTTTTTGTTTTTGCAAGATCATGAAAGATATATATGAAATCAGGAATTTTGTCATCAATTTTATAGCTCTATCGAAATTCATGGAAATCACCAATTTCTTTTTGAAAGATGCACATCCTTCCATAATTCTTTTGTGATTCCATTATGCTCCATTCTGTTTGACAGACAAAACTGTAAGTCATTAACTTCAATACTAATTAGAGATGACAGTGCAATGATTAGTTGATTAATACATGTATTATACTAGAATCATAAACATCGACACAGTTTTACTTTATAACAAATCTGTTTACATGTATCAAATATGCTAAAATGTTAAAAACGTAAATTTGAAAAAAAATATGGTAAAGAAAATCAATGATTGTTAAAACAGAGTTGAACTGTACATGTTAGAAAAGAAATTACTACTGTTGTGAAATTGTGTACCAGTACTGACTTGAAATCAGCTATTGCTATACAAAAGACTGTCGACAGTGGTAAGAGAAGTACTGTAGTAGACCTGTGACAAAGTGTTGTTAATACAAAAGACAGCAATGGAAAATCAAATACTATAGCATACAGACCACTTATATATATACGCTGTATTCAAAAATGTTTTCTTATATAAAGAAATATCTCTAAATAAATGTTTAAGAAGAAAAAAAATATGCATGTACACAAAAACCTTTTTAAACTACGTAAGTTTTTTACTTTGGTAAATAACACATTACCTTTTTCCTGAATCTGCAGACCAGCTGCATGTGACAGAGCGAAGAAGACGGCATCACCGACCGTTTGATGCGGAGGCTTGACTCGATTGTAGGCCTGGGCTGCCTCCACTGCTATTTTAAGACGATGCTGCTTTGCTCGGTACAGTTGACCTTGGAGGGCAAGTTGATCCCTATATAGGACTTTGTTATCCAGTTTCTCCTTAAGCTCAACCTTATATGACTTCTCTACATATCTTGTCCTCAAACTGATGTCCAGTTCCTTCAACTGGCGGTCAAGCTTTTCCAAGTCTCGATAAAGCAACGGCACATTCGTAGATTCCTCCAGGGTTAATCCTGCAATATAACATCACAAGTGAAAAATCGGCAACAAATCACAGTTATTCATAGATACAATTAATGCAGTGTTAAATCAGTAACGAGGCATAGCTATTTATTTGGTACATTAATACAGGAATATATCTACTGGGTATGATAATTATGCATCTAGAAAGTCACCAGCTTGAAACTGAATGCGCGAGTAAAGATCACAACTTGTGTCATATTTCATTAAGCCTTGAATGTGTTGCAATCCAGCCAAAAACCAGATTAAAGGCAGTCCATAGCTAAATTTTCAATCTGCAACTGATCAGACTCTTTATGAATTTCCATATGCTATATAATAATAACACTTCAGTAATTAACATTGTAGATATAAACTCTTAGCCTTGGTACACAAACACACAGAAGTAAAAGTATATAGCCAGGTACAGTAAATCTATAACAAACTTACCAGGTATTAAACGATGATCCTTCTTGAATTCTCGTTTTGGAGGCTCAGTTACCTGCCGTTCAAACTCCTCCTGCTCCTTACGTTTGGCCTTTAAGTTTAGCAGCTGTTTCTGAAGTCTGTCATTGTCTCTCTCAATGACACCAATCCTATTTATGACAATGAAAATAACAAATATCAACTCAAAGTTTTCATTCAATTTGACATATCCGTTTTTAAAGAACCAACTGCTGTAAATTGTACTATCATTTATCATGCATACATTTACAACAGGCTCATAGTCGTGGGCTTTAATGGTCACCTTAGTGAAATTATGAATGACATACAGTGTTGCTAGTTATATAGATTTAAATTGATTTGTAAAAGTTTGGTTATAAATACACCAGTTGCTTTCAAAGAAGTTTCAAAGCAGATATTTTTTGAAGGTTTTACATTTAGTGACCCTTATGGCTCTGTCTCTCAGCCTTTTTAGGATTCTTATATTCTTCCAGGGACTGATGATTACCACTAAGTTTTATAAATATCTGAAAGACACTTTCTAAATAGAAGAGAATAGTATGTTTGTTTACATGACGATTGAAAGGCCTGACAAAAGACCTAAGGCGACCTAACGAATAGTATATACGTAAACTGTTATTTTAACAAAAGGCTGTACCCTAATAAGCATCATGTACCCTGCCCCAAGCTGACACAAGTTCAATGTCTCCAAACCCAAACTTATCAGTACATGTCAATAAATATATATTGTACTAATTTGTTTAAAAATGCTCTCAGTACAGTTGTAGACTAATCCCCTTCTTTCCAGCGCTGAACATATTAATATATGGGATATCTACCTTTCCTCTAGTTCATCGCCTCTCTTCTTGTAATTCCTCATGGTTGAGGGTTCGGAGGCCATGGCCTTGAGTTTGCCATGAAGGAAGATAGCCTCCCTCTGCCCTGACTTGATCACCTCAATGGTGTCCTCATACTCTTTCTTCACCGCCGTCAACAGAGGTTTGTAGGCCTTCACATGCTCAATTATCTTTAAAAAAGAGTGTGCATAGATATAACTGCATGGTAACATGTTCATGCTTATTTTTTGTCTTGAATTCCACAAATCACAGTAACTTTTTCATACTGGAGTAAATATGTATAAACTACACCATGTATTTGACTATCAATAAACTCATTTGGACCAGATTGCATTGTATACCGTGTATATAAGTAAGATTATTAAAATAAACATGGTTACTCTAGGTAAGTAAAAATATGATATAAGACATTACATAACTATAAACCATAATACATTGGACATACAGGTAGTTGAAAAAAACTATAAAAAAACTATATATATAAAAACACACATTTCATGTCCTAAGTTTTTTAGTGTTTGTCTTTACACCTTTCATACTGTCTTCCAACGGATTTGATACATTTTCAGCTGCAAAAGCATTATGTATTTTACAATTTACAGGCATCAGGAGTCTTTATAGAATTTTGATGAAGTTATAACCACACTTCAAGGGGAAAACTTTGTATCTTTACAGTTTAAATGACGATTGAAACTTTTTAAATTTTTAGAATGTGGTTTGAAAGACAAATAACTTTATTCAACTTTCTTTTTATTTATAATTTACTCATAAGTTTCGTTCAGTGATTGTGATGACCTGGTTTATTGGATGTGCTTCTTACCCTGTTAAAAACAGTCTTAAAGATGATATAACGCTGCTCATCTTCTTCAGTATTAATCCTTGACATCTCATAGTCAATGTACTCACTGAGGTCCTGCAGGAAACGCCTGTCTACCTCATTTGTAATGATAGGCGGTATCTTGGTATATTTAGAAGTGGTAGAAGTGGGAGTTGAGGATCTACTTGACATTCTAAAAATAAATTCAAGTAAAGATTAACGAAAGTTCCAAGTTCCTTAATAAGTCATCTGGATATAATTTTCATATCTTATCCTCATGATTAGACTATGGGTCAAGGTACTTTTTTAAAATTATTTTTACACCTTGTGATCTTCCTAAGCACAGCTACACGACACATCAAAGTCTTAAACCTTTAGGCTTATAATTCAGTAGAAGTTTGAACACATTTGACTCTGTCAGTTCGTGCTGAAATTACTCCCGGTCATGCCCATATCAAATTAAAAGTAAAACAACTGCATATATATTGGCTGAATATAAATTTCTATTACCACAAGCACTTTACATTCTGATTTTTGCATCTTTTCACTTATTCAGTTTTAGTTTGATGCATTACTTTGTGTGAATGTTCATATGCACAGTGTTTTTTGGCCCTAAATGACTTAAATTGTCCATTGCCATTGGCCATATATATATATAAAAAAAAAAAAATGACATTCTAATCATTAATCAAAAACAAATGATAAGAAATTACTGAAAACAATAAAACTACAATAATTATACCCACATAATGGTCAGACAATTATCTAAACAGTAACCATGATAGCTAGACTTGTGCCAGGAAATTTTCATATATGCTATGTCATGCAGACTTCTTTCCCAGGTGACATATAGTTCAGCAAAAAGTCCAGGCAAACATCAATGACAGAATGTGATATTACACCACAGGTGTAGCTTTTTTAGCAATGTTTAATTGTGTATTAATTAGACTATCACCATAAAGTTGACATTACTGCAGTAGGATCTTTAACGTTTTATACCAACTATTGCCATTTTTGTATTATCAAATGACATTAGATCACCTGTCAACTAGTATGTCCTGGGAATAAGGAGATCATCACAAAGTATAAAATCTGTAATTGTGAATGATACATTTTCATCACAAGTTTGATTGTGACATAAGTGGTTGGTAATACAATGAAAGACAGAGAATATTTAAAATTACTGCATAAATTGTGATGCACTACATATTAAAAATCTTATTATTACTTCTCTGTCCCTGCAGACGTTGTTTGCAAATGTTAGTGTACAAAAGCATGTGTCATCCAACTCACAGACCAATAACCAGATTATCTCCTCAATTTCTACAATATATATATATACATGTCTTCTTTTGATCTAATCTTTTGCAAGAGGAAGGAGGGAAAAAACATAAGTACAAAGTAAATAATAAAACTAACAACATTCTTTTGTTAAAATAAGTGTCGGGAAACATAATTGTATCTAAAAATTTAATATAAATTATTCTTTTTCATAAAGTTAATTTACAGTGAGACTGCTTATTTGTAGGGTTGTTCTGTTTGCAGTGAAGTAGTAACATATATTAGGTAGATCGACAAATGGGCCGTACCATTTTCAAGCAGCTTCGTATTTGTTTAGTTCAGTGCAGCTCGGTTTGATTAAATATCAAAATATTGCAATAATGACGGTATTTTTAACAGTAACGTTAGCTGCTGTTATAAGTACCGGAATTTTTGCAAATTTTTTGAAAAAGCATGTGAATATTTCAAACAGAGCGTTACCCCGTTAATTGTAACAGACTAAACATTAAAACGTTTTCTGCTTACTTTTCTGTTTCTATTGTTATTCCCTAATATCAGCATACATTTTGTTGAAATGGCAAAAGCACTATACACATCAAGGGCACTGCCTATCGGACGGTGGTCGCCATTTTCAAACAACTCGTAGATAGGAAGTGACGTCACTAATACGGGCATTTTTCAAGATGGAAGAGATCGGCCTAACTCAAGAAAAGGTAGCCGAAAAATATCAATGAACAGGCGTCAATGTCAGGGTTTCCGTAATATATTTCATATCAAAATGAACTATAAACATGTGAAGGTGTCATTTCGTACGTTTGTATGTCTAGTAGTTTGTAATTCGATTGGTTTTGGTAGATGTGTTTCTNCCCCCCCCCCCCCCCCCCCCCCCATTTTGCCGGTATATCACATTTTATTTGTCTGTATCATTTTGCCGTTAATTAATTTATATTTTTGTTATTTTATAGGATGTTTCGTAGCTTTATTGAAAGGATGAAAATGTCGGAATGATTTCTAAATATGATTTCAGCAACACACACTCAAAAGATAATTCACAAATAAAGTGTACTGTATGGGTCATCTAGATCTGTCCTGTACAGCAACTGTTGATTTGCTAAACATCTTTTTAATGCATCGAATAGACTTTGGGGATGTACCGAAACGTCTTATGCAAGTAGCGAAATATCTCTCAACCACTGAACAGGTTAGAGCTGAAACAAATACCAGATTTTGATTTTCAAATATTTGTTTGTTGTTTTCAATAAGGTTCATCAGTTTGGAAATATGTAATATCATTATTTTACTTCATACACAAACAATTTACGTATTAAACATTTCACAAAATTTCGAGACTGACTGGTCCCTTTTTTTCAAGCTATGAGTACTGGGTATGACTGAGTGAGCGATTTGTATTGTTTACCTGAACAAAGATGGATTGAAATTGTATATTTTTGTTTATATAAACACCACTTTTACCAGATCCACAAGCAAAACATCTGCCACCCAGGACAGTAAATCAGCATTAACAGATCATGATGCTAACTCCCAAAAACCACATCGTCCATTGGGACAATGCCAAAATTGTTGAAAGGGAACAACATACAAAAACAAGACGATTCAGAGAAGCAGTCAAAATCAGGAAACTCAAAACATGAACAGAGACGAGGGGGCTAGATCTACACCATACCCGTAACATATTTAATGATCTCTATTGCTGGGCAAAACGTCCCGGACGGAGTTACATAAAAATATACATATATTTTGTATCGATTACTTATTAAAATTGTACAATTTCGTCACATCGTTGTACAGGTAAACGATACAAATTGCTCAATTAGTCATAGCTTGACAAAGAGACCAGCCGGTCTTAAAACATTGCGCCACATTCAATATGTACATTAATTGTGTATAAAGTAAAACTTTGATATTTGTTTGTTGTATTCAAATAGTTTTCGAATATTCGACTGGAAAGTTTGACAATCTTAATCTGTCACACATCATTCAGGAGTGACATTTCTTACTGGGAAAATCAATATATTTATTGACCTTAATTTTGGGATGATTTTCAGGTACATAGATTTGCTAACCAGAAAGAAACCAAACTGCAACTAGGTACTAACTCTGTTACCTACTCCAGGCCTAATGTAATATAGATACAATTTAATACTACAAACACAAAACTTTAACACAATATCCAGTATCAAACAGTACCTTTAACCCATAAATGTAAATAAATAAATATCCAAGAACATATATCTGCTAGTTTTATTTTTTGCATTTTGCAAGAGAGATAAGGTGACAAAAACACCTCTAAACTTGTCTATAGTGTCCTACAATTACGTATACCCTAGTCTTCATTTTGGAGGCACCTAAAATAGTTTCAGCATGCAAAATTGGAAATATAATCTGCTTTCCGGCTTTGTATTAACCAGACAATTTGGCCATGTTGTTTTTAATTTGTTTCACATTGAAAAAGAGGAAATTCAAAAAGTCATTATTTCATGTCTTTGATTCACACAAAATATTGTTGATTAATAATGGATATTTGATTTACCCTGTTGAGCATTTTAATGTGAAGAAGTAAGCTCCTCCTGATTTTTTCTAAGTGTACTTCAATATTCTACTTGAAGCCATATATATACATGTCCTCTATGCAATTTAATTATGCTACTCCTTGATTGCATGACTGTCCCATAAAAATGAGTTGTTTTTAATAAAAAAAATCACCCAAAAAAATGATTGAATACATTGTATAATATAAATTTGAAACATTTTAAAAATGCAGAAGGAATTCAAATTGAATATAAATTACTGGTATTTATTCTTAAGGAAATATGAGGGAAAAACACTAGTAATAGTAAATGCTTTGGTTTCTTTTTCTGAACAGGAAGATTCCACAGTCACAGAGTCTAGGCCAGGGACCTCTCAGACATCCACTCATTTTGACTCACTTGATGTAGATGTGGAAGATCTCTATGTCAAATACAAAGTAAGATCAAACCTATGGATATCTAAATTGCATGCAGTTTCCTATACATGTATTACTGGTACATTGTACAAGCATACCTGGTATGTTTTAGTTGTCACCAGCTGTGAAACTGCTGGTAGATCATTTAGGTTTATGTACCTTCTTTATATAAAGATAGCTGACAAACGTAACTAAAATGTCCATGTATATGTCAATAACATTTTGCATTCTGTTACAATATCAGGTTCATCTTAACAACTGGGATAACTTTTGTTTTCATATGTGCAGTCTTACTGTAAGTTCTGTCAATTCAGTCTCGAGAGAAACTATGATGTTAATCAGTTTTAAATGCCTGAATGTTGTACATGTAAATTATTTGTCTGTTAATTTCATCCATAGAAATTGAAACGACAACTAGAATTTTTGGAAGTGCAAGAAGAGTATATCAAAGATGAACAGAAGAACTTGAAGAAGGAATATTTACATGCACAAGAGGAAGTAAAGAGAATTCAGAGTGTGCCACTGGTCATTGGTCAGTTCTTGGAAGCAGTTGACCAAAACACAGGAATTGTTGGCTCAACCACAGGTAACATTTGGATTGAAATTGAAAAAGAAGTTCTAATTAAACCATATGTTCCCAGGGTGAAAGCCACATAATTAATTTAAAAGGTTTTCCAGCACTTGACCAGCTATAGAAATGGTCATTTGCTCCTGCTTTTGATACTTGTAAAAATGATATTTAAGTAAAACAAACTCATGAATATATTTCTCAATTGTTATTGTTGGCAAATATTCACTATTAAAACAAGCGAATGATTATTTAAGTAATAACATGTATACTTATGTTTTATATAATGTTTTCAGGTTCTAACTACTATGTTAGGATATTGTCGACTATTGACCGTGAGCTGTTGAAGCCTTCGGCCAGTGTAGCGTTACACAAACACAGCAATGCCCTAGTGGATGTTCTGCCTCCCGAGGCTGACAGCAGCATCACCATGCTTTCCTCAGGTAAAAAATAACAACCGTTAATTTCAGAATTTTATTGAACATTTAAAAAAAGTTGCATTGGGGCATTCCACAACTGCTACAGTACTCTAATTATACCCTCAATTAAGTGGAGGGGCTTGGTCAGAGCATCCTTGCGCCCGTAATAAAAAGTATGTTTTCAAGATACCTCATCATGAACCCTTCAACAGATTCGGATCATATTTACTCCGTAGTATGGAAACATCAAGTTGTAAACATTTTGTTTCTGCAAAATAACTTCACCAACAGAAAGTATTTATGGAAAAGTTGTGTGCTGAAATGCTATGTAAGGTGGCTAAAGATGTGTTTTTTTTGCGAGCAGATGAGAAGCCAGATGTGCTGTACTCAGACATAGGCGGTATGGACATACAAAAGCAGGAGGTCAGGGAAGCTGTAGAGCTGCCACTAACACACTTTGACCTGTATAAACAGATTGGTATAGACCCCCCACGCGGTGTTCTCATGTATGGACCCCCTGGCTGTGGTAAAACTATGCTAGCCAAGGCTGTTGCACATCATACTACAGGTCAGTCCTGACATGTAGTTATATAATTAGTGAAGAATGGAATTTTAGTTTGGCAGAGAAATTAAAATTATCTTATAATTATTTTACCTTGCATGTGTCTTTTTCTGTACAATATCTCATTTCACACTTACTACTAAAATTGAATTCTTTATCCCACCCCATATAATAGGCCTCCATGCAGTTACTGCAACACTCTATTTACATTCTTATAGCGACTAGGGTTACCGTTCATATGTTTCCTTTCATTCCAGAATTTGCTTTTTTAGCCTGAATTATAACAGCCTCAAACAAATCAGTGGTAGAGATTCTTTGATACCTTATGGTATCTAAGGTGTTCTTGTATTGCATCTTTTTTCCTTTATGTTACAGCGGCATTTATACGAGTGGTTGGATCTGAGTTTGTACAGAAATACCTAGGAGAGGGACCAAGGATGGTGAGAGATGTGTTCAGGCTAGCCAAGGAAAATGCCCCAGCCATTATCTTTATAGATGAAATTGATGCTATTGCTACCAAACGTTTTGATGCCCAAACTGGAGGTTTGTATTCTAGTTCTCTATGTAATAATACAATGAATTAAATGTCTCAATCATCTGTACTTACTTGGAGGGTCAGATTCATGTTCCATCTCCTCACATAAAAATCTTTATGAAATATTGACAGGATTTACATTTACATAAAGTAAAATAGTTTTTCCTTTTTAAATCTGTTTTCGTGTCTCCACATGTTAGGTGATAAACAATTAATAATAACGCTATGTAATGTTTGAAATAACAGAAATTCTGATATTGTAGCGGACAGAGAGGTACAGAGAATTTTGCTTGAGCTGTTGAACCAGATGGATGGTTTTGACCAAACTGTTAATGTTAAGGTAAAGTTATACTCTTCATATGCAATATGAACATTTTCACTTGGATTTGTCAAATTTGGTTTTATGATTAACCTGAAATTCTTTGTTAATTATATTTTAGGGTTGATCTTAAGTTCATTTCAACAAATGTTATTCATGACGGTATATGAATAGGATCGAACAACAGGCCACGCCTATATAAGTTCTCTTCTGCATGCATTTGTATGTAACAGTAGATATATATTAT